AGCACCCATGGTCACGGGGGACTGAGGTGACTGACGTCCCGATGTCAAAGTTAACCCGGAGTACCTTCAACTTTTTAATTATTGTCTTTGGTCCGATCTACGCAGAATGAACTAACTGTATTTTGAAGTCTTGCAGTGGTATGCTTGGGTTTAGTTTTAATTTTATTAATTATAGGATCCCAAGCAGGTGGTAGTATCCAGCCTCCTTCTCTATTGAAATTAGGATGTTTTTTAACTTCAATAGCCTCACGTATCATCCTTGGTAGGAATCGATGTTCTTTCGCGAGGATTTGTGGTCTATCAAATCTGATGTAATGGTTGGGGCCATCTAGAATATGATCGCAAACTGCAGACTTCCCGGAACGTTGATGCTTCACGTCAGCTATGTGTTCTTTTACGCGGGTTCTAATTGATCTCTTTGTTTGCCCTATATATGAGAGACCACAATCACAATCAAGCTTGTACACTCCTGCATCTTGTAGAGGAATATGACATTTGACGGATGGTAAGAACTGACTAATCTTCTTCGGCGGCTTGTAGAATGTTCTAATTACAGCTCGCTTCAAGATGTAGCCAATCTTGTCTGTGACACCTCTGACATATGGTAGTATAGCAGGCACACGCTCGACTGTGGCCGGCTTCACTCGGTCACTGTGACGGAGGCGCGGGACCCGAAGCTTGTTGTCGTGCAGAACCTGCTTGACGTGCTGAAGCTCGGCGGCCAGGTGTTTGCTGTCACAGATCCCTCGTGCTCTCTGAAACAAAGATTTGCCCACGGTAGCTAACTGTGAAGGATGATGGTGAGATTCACCATTTAAGTATCGGTTTGTATGAGTCTTTTTTCTATACACAGTATGACCTATGGTGTTGTTAGGATTTCGGATGACCAACACATCTAGGAAAGCTAAGGAATTATTTGCCTCTAACTCCATAGTAAATTGAATTTTAGGGTTTATGGAATTAAGATGTTCTAAAAATGCAGTTACTTTGTCTGATGGTAAAATTGTGAAAGTATCGTCTACGTACCGCTTGTAGAACCTTGGGGTAACAGGTGCAGTAAGGAGGGCTTTCTCCTCAAAGTCTTCCATGAATATATCGGCGACAATGGGAGATACAGGTGAGCCCATCGCAACACCATCTACTTGCTTGTAAAACTCTTCCTTCCACAATAGATAGCCAGATGTAAGGCAGTGTCTTAGTAGTACTGCACATTCTGGTGGCATGTTATTTTCATCTAGTTTCCTAGTTATAATTGAGATGCAGTCTTCAACAGGTAGGCATGTAAATAAAGACTGAACATCAAAACTGACCATGGTTTCATTGTCAGCAAGACGTAGGTCTTTTATCTCACTGACAAAATGGTATGAATCCTTAGTATGTGCTCTTGTGTGTCCTCTGAGTGGTGATAATATTTTGGCTAAGTGTTGAGCCAATCTGCACGTTGGCGAATCGATTTGACTCACTATTGGACGTAATGGAGCGTTAGGTTTGTGTATTTTTGGTAACCATACAACTTGGGAGGTTTTGCACACGAAAGTATCATCGAATTGACGTCTAGATTCAATTTCTCGGAGTATTTCTTAATTAGATCGCTAGTTGTTTTAAGCGTATTAGTTGTAGGGTCTGTTTTGACCTTACGGTATATACTTTCATCCGACAAAATTTGTTGTATTTTAAAATTGTAATACGACGTATCCATTACAACCGTAGCATTTCCTTTATCTGCGCGGAGAATCGTAAGGTCTGGTCTGTTGCGTAAGGTTTTTAACGCGTTAAATTCATTTTTGGGAAGATTTAATTTCGGCGCTGTACTTCGACGTACACGAATACCGATATACGAATAACGATAGACGAAATGTCTTGGCGTAGGGCCTCTAAATCTTCATTACCAATATTATTTTTATACAGACAATCCTCAACACTACAGATAATGTCTTCATACGGGATTCTTCGCGGTGTAATTGCATAATTAAAACCTCTTCCTAAAACTTAATGTGGCGTCGTCCAGAGTATGTTTTGACAGGTTATAGACCACGCCTTGTTTACTATTCGTGTCTGTGGTCGTTTCGTTCTTACGTTGCCATTGATGTTGAACATTTGATTTAGTTGTTAATTTTTGGTATTTATCAATATGTTTATTTTTGCATTCATTGTATTTAGTTGTTTCGCGTTTATCTAAAGTTTCCATGCAATTCTTATAATCAAATGTCGATAAAACTGTCTTTAATTCACTGCCGGCCGACCGGCGTCTTAGGAATAATTTGTTTTATTACTAATTTATAATACTTTTTTATTGATTAAGTATCTTATTAACCAATGAAAAGTAATTCCTTGGTTTTTACTAACATTTCTTGAATTATTTGTGCAATATCTAAGTACGCACGACGGCATATTTTTATCACGAGATTTTTTTTAAATCAACACGTCACACACACAACACGTGTCAACTCTACAAGCGCCTAGCGAGTGACTGATTAAAGTGCAGTGTATGCACCGCAGTTGAATGGAACATAGTAGCTGAATGCAATGTCGCCTCTAGTACGTAGTACATAATAGCTCAATGTTTTTAAATAAAGTAGAAAATTAAAAAAAAATTGAAAATGTGCAAAAATTAAAAACCGAACCACTGAGTCTAGAAACAGATAAACTTTTATTTAAAACTAATTTCTTAATTAAATGACATTGTGTAGCGAAAAACTTCACCTCAGTGTAAAGTGTAAACTAGCGGCATTTGGTGAGCGGAACATTTTTATCTCTCATTGTCTGAAATTTTACTTAAGCTTAATTAATTTAATTTTACTTGGAGTGATCTGAGAATAAGTGTTAGCTACTTTACAATTTTTTTTGTATAAAATCGATTTATTGCAATAACAAAAATATTTTTTTAAGAAATTTGTTATCCACGAACTATCTCAATACAGAAGCTATCGGTTTGTTGTTTTTATCTATTAATAAAATCGATAACATGACGATAAGGGGTGTGGAGTGGTAACAAAAAAATTTAATAAATGTTTCATCAAAAAACACACTATTTTATAGTGTTAACAAGATATTATTAAATGATGATCATTAAATTTATTGTTGATTTCTGTTTTTACTTAGATAAAAATAAAAGTGATAAAGTACATGCGGAAAAATTATAAAAGTATAAACTAAGTACTTTCACTGCTTTAAAAATAAAGTGATGTAAAGTTTACAAGCTTTCTAATATTGAGCACAGGCCTGTTTTCATTACTAAGTGAGTTTTCAGGATAGGAACGCTTATTTTAATTTTTAAGAAATACAAAATAAAAAACTACGGTATTGCCAACCCGCTTGCCAATCCTGGCAACGGCATATGAGGCAATCTATGGGGGAGGCCTATGATGGACTTTAATGAGCTGTAACGGTAACGATAACGGTAACTGCAGGCTTACTGATTAATAAACAGGTTAAAAAATTCATCGGTGCCGGAGAGCTGAAGCTCGATTTGTTAGCAAGCTATAAAATAAAAAAATTGTCGTGGTAGCTCAGGGGCTAAGCACTCGATGTAAATTTTAGAGTACTCGAGTAACCCGGGTTCAAACCCCGCCAATGTAATTGATAATTGCAATTTGAGGTGCTGATTTAGCACGTGTTCGGCGGTGAACTAAACCGGTGAAAAATCTTGAGAAATAAGAAAAAAATTCTAAGACATGTGAGTAAGTAAGCCAACTAAGTTCGCTAACACGCATTAGGGCTGCGTGACGGACATTTTTTCTTGGCCTAAAACCCTCTCAGAATTGAGAGGGGCGGCCTGAGCCCACTGTACGTATAAAGGTTGTAACGTTAACTTGGTTTTATGAATTTTTAAGGTGGGTTCTCATCCCCTGATCAGACATGGCTCTTTAATCTTTATCTGCATTAAATCAAGTGGATTTTGTGCTTGTAAGGTAAGGGGATCCCCCAAAACCTATCTTTTCGCAACAGTGGCGTAAATTCCTATATAATATGAACCGTCCATCAAAGTGTCTAAACATAATAACATGACGCAACAATTTAAAATGATAATTAAGCAATGCAAATAAATATTATTAATATAATTGCAATAGAAAATAAAAATTGGTGTCCAAAATTTAAATATTACTTTCAAATTTTAACACTTTCGTTTTATAAAAAATAATAAATAGAGATTTGAAAAGTACCGAAGATTTAAAGTGCATAGACAATTGCCCTAATTATCTAATATGTGCGTACACGTAACGAGGTCACGTTAATAGTGTTGCATAAGTGGGGTGCATCTGCTTGACATTTGAATCGACCCCGAATCCGAATAGAAACTGTGTCACATTAGCCGGCAAGCGAGCACCGGCAGCGCAGAGGTGCGTTGTGAAATCCCGTTAGCGCTACGTCCACTACATGTGCAAACCGGCGCGCCCAATGTCGGGCGTGGGCGCCGCCTGCACTCTATTCACCGCCAACACCAAAAAGCGAGGATGTCCGAACAGCTACAGCGGTCCGACGTCAACCGAGCGCCCTTCTCGCTCGCACTCTGCCCGCACGTCGTGTTTCTTATCTTGTCGAAAACAGCTGAGTATCAAAACAAAGAAGTGAGACGGACGGTCGCCGCTCCCGCTTGCCGGCCGGCCGGTGTCACGCCGCACCGCACGCAATACACGCCAGTTCTCGTCTGAACCGTGTCTATTGCGGTCGTTCGCAGCGAACTAACGTGCGAAGTTTTCTGCCGCGAAAGGATTTTCCTTTGTCCCGATCTTCGAGGACCTTGCCCTCGTATTATGTTTCCGTGCGAGAGCCGCGATCAGCCTCGGCCCACGGAAGAGCCGAACCGCGTCCAACGTACGGAATTACGTCGAAATTCTAATTTCCCAAAATTCTGTGACGAATATCCCGCGAAAAGTGTACGCCGGGCGATTTAAAATTTTTGAGTGAACTTGTGTGAGAAAATACAGTGTGGACAATCGGACCCTGTCTGGTGTGTGTGTAGTGCGATCGCACCATTTTCCGTGAGGACTGTTACCACTATGTCGACGGGGAAACGACTCGCGAAGCGCTCCATCATAGGGACGCGTGTCGCGGCGCTTGGAGAAGACGGATTATACCATTCTGGTATGATTCAGGCAGTGAAGACGCCGGCGCCATTCCCGGAGAATAACAACTGTATAAATTTAACGCCGAATACACGATATACAGTACGGTTCGATGGCGGTAAAGTGAGCCGTGAATATCGTGACGCAGAGCTGATCGGGCCCGGTTTCCGCGGAATGACTGGCGTGCGTCTTCAGCCCGGCCAGCGCGTCTTTCTCACCCACAATGGCCGAGAAGTGCGTGCTGACGTGCTCTGTCATGATCACGAAACTGATGAGCTCCATGTCCAGGTGCACACACCTGCCGCTGAAGTTAGTATATTTCATTGAATTTTTTTTTAAAGTAAGAAAAAGTATTATATAAAAATTTAAATTTTATAAAAAGTAGCCATTCTACAATAAAATAGCTTTTAACTCTAACTTGAATAACATATCTACAAAAGATTTCAACGACGGGCGCTCTACAATAGAGTCAATATTGAAAATATAGATTTTTCAAAATCAACTTTATTTTAGAATACCTTATAAATATAGAACACTGATAGTAGTGCACCAGTGTGTTGCAGAACCCTATAGTGTTACAAAGATCTTCGAATAAGAAATTTTATTTTGTTGCAAATCTTATCTACGCTACGCTTGCATCAAATATCGTTAGATATAGCGATTAGCCGTCATTGGCATTCGTGTTGACATTGGTATAACATATATAAAGACAAAGGCAGGCCGTGCGGGGGCGCTGTAAGCATTGACCCGACCGCACGTGCAGCGCGATGCACGGCGCAGAACTAACACGCAACGCTCATTATGTAGCAATCATAGTGCAACTTGCACTACGACGCTTATCAAATGCAATGAAATTGTTCTAGTTGCATCTCTATTATACATTGGTAATAATAATGGTTATTATCGACATCAGTAATGTATAAAGACATAACTACTATAATTTACAGTTACCGCAGTTTACCCTAAACCAATATAAGGAAATTTGGTGCAGAGAAACCCGTAGTGGTTATATAATTATGTATATCTCGGTACAATACGCTTGATTACTGGTAGGAAAATTACATTAAAATAAATAATCAAATTACATACATTACAAATTATTACAAATATGATAAGATTATCCCATATCCTTCGCTTTAGTCCACCTGACTCCATTATCAAGCTTCAAAATAAAAATATTCGTATACGTGGACAACAAAAGGCCATCGCATAAAACTCGTCCCCCGTCTGTACGCTCGGAGAAACACGCACGCTCGAAATTCGGTCGCACTCGACCCCGTTAGCACTTACCACAAACAACAGTACATAATTGGATTAAGATTTACCCTACGTTTACGTCTAGTCACATGAATTCATTTTATTTTTGCACAGTAACTAATGCATATTATATCATCAACTTTTAAGATAAAATGTGCACTAAAATATTTTTAAATTTTATTATATTTAATTAAAATTCTTGTAATTATTTAAGTTTACTAAACTGTTTCTCCTCTTCTTTCCGCAATTTTGTAAATACCATTACATTCCCGTTATTCTCTCTCACAAATGGTAGTGTATTCAGATTATCCTCCTTCCTAACGATCTGTAATATTCTCTGCACTCCTCTACATTTTATAATAAATTTCTTTCTGTTTTTGGAGTAAAACTTTAGAACTCCTTACTTCTGTCGATTAAACATGCGCAATCCTTAGATTGGTTCAAGAAGCAGGTTAACGTTATTTGTCTCTATCTTATTTCTTCATACATTTATGGTCACTAAAAGCTATTGTATTTTTAGTCCATAATTTAATTTTATTACTATTATCGTGCTAGAAAGTCGTCGTAATGTTGTATAATTAATAGTCATATACCTACTATAATTTCAATTTAATTCATTATCAACCAATAGGTTTAGTATTGTACGATAATAAACAGAATTTAGAAAGAATATAACATAATATCTTATATTCGTAAAATATTTACATTATATATACCAAGAAAGAAAGAGATATTTATTTGGCCATTTCTTAACAAATTAGCAATAAATACTCAAAACAAACATTATGCTTAGGTATTCTTATAAGTAGACTTAATTATACACTTACAATGAAAAATAAATCATTTGAACAAAGCAGATAGATACAAAATTCATTAATAAAAGTGGTACTACACGTTGAACCCTCGCTGCCTTAGCCTTCCCTTCAATCTAAGCTAAGCATTTTATGAGACAAATCTGCAAGTTTATTTCGAAATAGCGAAGAACTGAATCGTCATCATATACTATTTTTAAATTAATATAACGATGGCGGCCGGCCGGCCGGCACGGAGCTGAGCCCCGTTTCCCGCATTAACTTTATCGCGCTAATTGCACTACCAATTTCAATAAAGTTTGTATTCGATTACTATACTATAATGCATGGCCAAATTTAGAGGAATGCTAAAAAATGTTTGTATTAGAAAATATCATTGATATTTGTGACAATTAGTTTATTAATTTAGATTTTGCTAATTATTCGTTAATTTAAAATTGCAAACAAACGATCAAATGACAAAAATTAACTAAATTAATATAAATTTTTCATGAAAGAAACATTTTCATGAAAAATGCATATCATCTTTTTTTCATTAAGGCTTAGGAAAGGCCCTCCTCTAGTTCTTTCAACTGTTTCCGGTCTCCTTGGTACCTTATGGTAAATGGATGCTGTGGCCCACAGACATCTTCAACTATCCTCAATTAAAAATCAAAATGCAGATGCCTTGTTCAAAAGGAAAGGATTTATAATATTTTTAAAAAGGATCTTAACCCAATAAATAAGACAGTCAAAGCAAAAATTTTAACAAGTCCTAATTTAAATTCAAATTCAAAATTGGCAATTTTTTTTTGATATTAGTTTGATAGATTTCTGATTAATAATATTACATAATATTTACATCAAACAAATGAAATTCTAAAATAAATAACATTTAGGTACTAATTTTAGTGCCTACGCATAATATAACAGGATACAACACGAGAAATTAAACATTTCTTTTTGAGCGTGCCTCTAATTTTTTCCCTGAGTGTATATTAAATATGACGTTTTAAGTCCATCAAATGTACAAATTTGACCGCCGTCGCCTAACTTAACACGCAACACTTTCGATTATTTGGTGTGCTGACGGTTGGCCATGACACCTTTTGTACTGAAAACTGTAACATAAATGAAACATTTAACATTATCTGATAAGATATTAACGAGCTCTAGATCGTTTCAAACGCTTGGTTATTTGAAAGATAAATTTATAATCGATTAATTTTGTTATTAAATTTATAAATAAAAAATAACAATTTTTAAAAGATTTTAGATTTTACATTAAAAAAATTCATCCACATTACATACCAGTCCACGAAAATAAAGCTAAAATAAAGCGAAAATAAAGCTAGTTAGAAATAAGGCTACTGATGCGTTGTCTCCTCTGAGGAGTAAGATGGAATGTCTCACATCCTATAATTATATTGGCTCTTTCAGAATGGAACATAGCATTACAGGTATTGGAAGCAGAAGTAGGTTATAGTGGTATCTACTCAGACATACTCTGAGGGAGAAAAAAGAGTTCTACCATTTTACTATTGTTTTGCCGCAGGAAGCGATAGTACTGAAGTTTTCATCGTAAGGATTTTCAACAAGGAAACCAATGGCAAACGACTCCGGCCGGCCTTGCATGCGTACGCACTACTCAGCACACTATGACGTCGCACACTGACAGTGATATGTCAACCGCTCTCGATACCGTATTTTAACTCTCTCTTTCAGTGTCAAAAATTAAGCCCACTCAACTATATACAAGACCATTGGTGGTCATTTCTATATAAAAAAAAAACTTGAGAGGTGTCAAGGGACACCCGGATGGAACGAAGTTTCTATATAACTATACAACTATAGCAAAAAGTGTCGTTACAACTTTTGGTCTTAATTTTTTCCGTCTAGCCCCTTTCGCAACACGCGTAAAGGAACTTCGTTCCAATAAGGGTTTGTAACTCACCCTTAGTTTAGCATCTATTTAGAATTTAAGATTTTAAGAAATAAATTAGAAATTATTATTAAAATAGTTTACTATACCGAAATAAGAGTATTTTAGGAGTGAAAAAATTCATAAAGGTCAATGTGCAGTTTGTTTACATGATGCCACGCTTGTGCCAGATAACCGCTGCTGCTGGCGTAGTCAACGCAGTTTACGTCATTGCTAGCGTCGCTCATCGCGAACATAAAAACAAGTTAATAAGATAACACAATATGACAATATTTACTTCTCTACGGCTTCAAACTGCGTATTATATGTAATTGCTCGTAAAATCATAAATGCGTTTTCAATATTTTATACTTATTCCATCTGATTTTATATTTTGCATATTATTTCTATTTTATATAATTATCACATAGATACACGGTATTACAGTCCTAAATTGGATGATATTTGTACTCCAAATCAACCCAAAATTGCACGACTCAATTTGTGAATGTTATGTACACTTGTTATGGATATACATACAGAGAGTATAGAAATGTGTATGTTTTCGTGATTGTCATATATGTGTATTGTAAGTGTACAAGTTGTTAAATAAAATAAAATAAAAATAAAATTGGTCAAATGAAATTAAACTTTAATGACAAAATCCTATTAATGACATGCGTATTCCACAAGTATTCATCTGAACAACCATTTATATTGTGTTAATGGGATCGCATATTGGAAGTAACATGGTCACCTGATTTTATTTACAAGGAAATAATTTGCAATGACGTGGTTTTCCCCAGCGTCGGACGGACGTCATATACGTAATTTACATCGTTCTCCACAAATGACGGCAAAGAAATACACACGCTACGCAAATTCGCCTCGATCAAAACAAATCGACTGACTCACTAAGCTTCGTCAATGTTCATAAACAGATACGGGCCTTTTTTACAATTTTTACGTGTACAAAATGCGCGTTTTACAATTTATTAGTCAGAATGATTTAAGATTATACGTTAGTTAAAACGTGTAAACAGCAGATTTTGATTATTAATATTACTGGTTTAGGATGATTCTGAGTACTTTTATAACTTTTCTACTCCAAAAAATAAAATCCCTTTTTATTTTTATTTTAAGCAACTGTATTGCTAATAATGTAACTAAATCACGAAGATAAAATGTAAACGAGCTATATAATAAGAAATGTATTTGTTAATTAAAAAAGTATCTATTATAAAATAATTGCCCTGATAGTTAAATTTGGAATAAAGTTGCTATAATTTATTGTTTTATCGCTGTGTATTTATTGCGTATAATCGTGGCTAAGATGAAAGAGAAGATTGGCAGTATCTTCATGATATCAACTCAAAATAATAAAAAAAAACCGCTGATGATAACCCGATTGCCAAGCATGGCAACTATGGCATATAACCCCATTATGAGGCAATCTATGAAGAAGGGTCATTATCATTGGTCTTCCCCATAGATTTAACAGTGAACTTTCAATAGGCTGTGAAGAATGACGAATGAAAAAATAAAAATACAATTGATTTAAAGTTTTAGAAAATTATCTAGGCATATATTTTAATTTATTTTGATACTACATAACTAGGTATTTTATTTTAAATGATAGCAATTTTATAACTCTTGCACAAGCTTAAAAATAAGAATCAAAACTTGTATGTCGTGCAAAAGGTCTAAAAATAAATTTAGAGTGTGCGGCCAAGAAATAAGGTCGCCGGCAGGCCCGGAACCGTGTAACGGTATTCATTACAAAATCGCGTCAAGAATTATTTTTACGAGCGCGCGGCGCCGCCCGGACCGTTACACGCGGTGGCAGTGCGGCCCATCATCCAACCTCACCTCACTGGCCCCGCAATAAGTAGAACAAACCGCTAACGTCCAGTAGATTAGTCACTTCTAGAAAATAACACCTCAACCTAGGGCTGCCATCTCTAAAACCTGTCCCCCAGGACCGGAAGCGTAATTTCCCCGGATTTTGGAGCTTTCACTCCGGACATTTCAATACTTTTTTCATTTACTTACATCGTATACGTACTTGATAGAAGAAAACATTAATTTTAAGCCTCTTTTGTTGCATGAAATAGTGTGTTTAATCGTTCTTGTGTTTAATCGTTCTTCGGTATTAAATAAAAGATAAACAAACCCAATATTAGTTACTCAGTTTATAAAATTGAATGGGATCTGATCGAAAACCCGGACTACAATTTAAACCCCGCCCGGACGCTCCCCGGACGTCTTCCAAACTAGGACAAATCCGGGGAAACCCGGACGGATGGCAGCCCTACCTCAACCCATAAAATTCTGGTACCAATTCTGATTGGTGGAAACGAGGTAAGACTTAATATATTTAGGCTGATCTTGTCCACACTCTATAACGCGTATTACGTGCCGACGTTTGAAGTAGGCTGGCACAAGTTACGTAAACAGTGTGATTTCCCTGCATTTGCAACATCGCCTTTCGTTTGCTAAGGTCGTAAACGGAACGGCTCGATTTGCCGCGGCCTCCTCGGCCCGCCCAGCCCACGTCGAGTGTGAAAGTGGCACCACGTTTGTTGGCCATGTACCGTTTCAGATTCACTTACTTGTACACGATACATTGTGGCGGTCTTTTATTTGTTTTGGAAAGAAAAATTACATTAATTAAGTGATGGAAACACTGACATGAAAAATAAGACAGAGAAAGTATTCCATAATATGCAGGGAGGTTTCCATAACTTCCTCAATGTAATAATAAGTTTATTTTTTATATACAAAACTCAGCTTAGATAACAAAAATAATATACCAAGAAAATAGCTTGTTGGTCGAGCAATTTTTAGAATATTTATTATAATAAAGGCCTTCTCTATGAGTATTATTCGAGTATCCTTACAGTGCAAGAAATATAGAATCGATTTTGTATTTTTAGTTCCTCACGTAAATCACTACTTCCCTTTGTAATTATTATACGAGTAAAGATTCATTCAAAACTTAGATTGTTTTCACAAATTTGAATTGTGTGCTTAAATTATAATCAAAACATTCGCGCGTGCTCTAACTCAAAGTATCGTAAAGGCAAACAATCGTTTCTTACTAACATTGTAATTAATACCTATCGTAAGTGTATCATTACCGGCGAAAGCGTTTGTGATTTAAAAGTAATACATGCGTTTTGCAATTTTTCCGGTCCACTTTTTTTCCCAGCGCGCAAAAGACACTTACACTGATGGTGTTCTTCGTTGCGTGGAGTTTTCGCATGACTACTTAATTTCTCCCGTAAAGATTATAAACACAAATCTTTCACAAAATATTGAAATGAACCTAGTTCATCTAACAAATAAAACAATTAAAATCTTAGCGGTCAGCCGCCGTAGAGTCTACATCACCTGATGCCTCGTGTCTACACGACACATCAGGTGATGTAGACTCACGTGTCGTATTATCGTCGATGGTGTGTCTTTTCTGGAATAGTGGTGTTAGGAGTAGTGGTGCCGGGAGTAGTGGTGTTGGGAGTAGTGGTGTTGGGAGTAGTGGTGCTGGGATCAGTGGTGACGGGATTAGTTCACGCAATTGAGGGAGGGCGGGAGGTGCTTCAATCCAGGAAAGACACATTATTGTATTTAATTAAGCGAAAGGTTGCGAATTAAATATTAGCATCTTTATTTAATAAAACAATTTGTTTTTAAATGTGTATGTACAGATGATTCTTAATGTACAGAGTTATAGTTTTCTTTGTTTACATTCCACGTGCTACTTCGAGCGTGTAACTACGATGTGACGTGTGGATCTTGAAGTAATTTATCACACCAAGTTCATAAACATACCCGACGTATTGCAACAATAAATTGATTCACAAGTTTCCCCTTCGATAATTTCTAGTTGTACGTGACTTTTTTGTCGATGTATACACGTAAACGGAACCGGCGAGCAACGAGCGGCCATTGGCGAAGAAACCATGGGAATAGAAAACGGCTATTCTCACTTTAAATCGTTTCTAACACGTGTTGCTCGTAAACACGTTGTAATTATCCAACATTGTCAGTTCAGAGAGAACAATTGCTACTTTTTGTAAATACTCTATCATTAGCCATCGAGAAGTTATAAAGGAAAAAGTGACTGACTTCGCAAAGTAAAGCGACAGTAGCCTATGATCCTACGGACTGCAAAACCAAACAGTCCTGTTTCTGATCAACTATTCAACTATAACCGTAAAACTCTATTCACACAATCATTTTTAGCTTAGTTAGAGATTAAGGAGTTAGAGTTTAAGGTAACTCCTGAGAAGTTAGTTAGTTAGAAGTTCATTTCATAATCAATCATGATAAATCATCTAAAACAACGTAAACATAGGATATTTGCTATCGTTGCCAGTTGTCAAGCCTCGCGCCTGCGTTTTACAAGAAAGATGATTCAGCTTCCTGATTAGAAGCTTGGTACGTACTACTAGAGATTTTAAGTGATTTTTATAAACATTTTATTTCAACAATTTTATAAAATTTCATTTATTTTTATGTTAAGCCCGAAATTTCAAAAATAAAATTTACAGATTAATCTACATATTTGAAACCACAAAACCTCAGCTTATAAAAGTTTTAAATTATACGCATTGTAACATGTCTACTTTATTATATTTATTTCATAACACCTCAGTGACGTT